TGAGGTCGTACAATACACAAATTCTGTTTTCCACTTTCTTGCATCAAAGTTGTCATATATCGGTTCTAGGCTGAGAACTGTAAGCTCACTACGGACACATCGTAGCCACGCCTGTAAACTTATTTACTCCTAAATGTCTTGGACAGACAGGGCTTCTTGATGACGGAAAGTGATGGACACGTTTTAAGTTATTCTCTACTGGCAATGTTAAAAAATTTAGCAGCTTTTACGTCAAGGGGCCACTTTTAAGAAGGGTCTGGTCAAGCAAGCTTAAGCGTTGAAACATCCTTTTTCTGCCCTAGGTTTTCTATGGCTAGCGCAGCAGCGACAGGTTCCTCAACCAAGGAGACTACGAACTACGCTCGCTTGTGTCGTCTGCTGGTTGATATTGGTACCCAGGCCCTCAGGGACACATTTGATACCATCCATCCACCAGCCAATCTTCACACAATTTTAACGGCCAATAAAACCACCTTACAGTCTTTAAGAACAAGAAAGGTTATAAACGCGACGCAATGGGGAATGCTTTTTCCAGCCATCCCTACTTCTGTTTCATCGGCCCATTTCGACATCACACTTTTAATGGCTCTGCTGCGAAACATATGCGGCTTACCTTCTCCCGCTGCGGGCTGGGATACACTTTCTGCTGCAACAGATGTGAGTCGTGAAGCTGATATCGCTCGTGTTAAATATTACAGAAACTCTGTGTACGGTCATGCCGAGTGTGCTTCAGTTGATGATGCACTGTTCAACATATACTGGGGTGACATACGGGACACTCTTGTGAGACTTGGAGGAGAAAAGTACAGAGCAGACATTGACAATCTTAAAACTGAGTGCATGGACCCTGAAGTTGAAAAACACTGCAAAGAACTTCTCAGCCAATGGAAGAAGGATGAAGAAAACGTTAAAGATAAACTAGATGAACTAATCAAGAAGATGGATGATTTGAAAACATCAAATTTGCCTCTAAAGAAGGAATCTGCAATCGAAGGTTAAGGAAGCTTTAGTTTTACTACTTTTGCCTGTTCAAAGCTTGTATATGGTAATGGTCTACGACCTGTAACAACATAAAAGATCAACTGCAAAGAGAGCAAAGAGAAAAGAGTGTATTGTATAGTTTTAACACCCCATTCACACTAAAGCTTTAAACATGTTTTAAAGTTGTTTTGTGAAACACGGTTTAAATTATTTTTCTTCAAAGAAGCTGCGTAAACAGATGTTTGTCGACTTAATACAAGTTAGTGGCTAGTTGAATCCTATGGAAAATTCAGTTTTACAGTTCTCTGTTTCTGATTTTCATTACGTTAAACCCAGTTTAACTAAACATGTTTTTCTCGTGTGAATGGTATTTTAATTACTTTCGCTTAAGTTCGCTTATATGTATGCGTAGGTACTAGGTATATATTACGAATTACATGCAAAATGTCTGGCTCAGGTTTGTTTCAAACATCAGCATTAACTTTTTGCTCATCGGGTTTTCATTCTGGTAGAAAATTTTCACAGTATAGTTTTACTGGATAGATACATGTGCTCTCTCTATTCCATCAAGGCACGCACAAGGTCCTTCAAATGCGGACCTCTTCTCCAAGTACAAGTGTTAACAGCTGCGTTGTTTAATTTCAGTCTTCATAGCTTTTGAACGAGTCAAATTTATCAATTAATTTCGAAATGGTTCTTTGACACTCAAATTGGTTTTCTTACGGAAAAAAACTTACAGTTTTATGATATTTCAATATCACTCTTTGGAATAGAACTAGAAGAGAACACTCCATAACTCGCTTAATACTTCTTATGTAAGCAAATAACTAACATTCACTTCGAATTTTTCATTCGCATATTCATAAGGTGAGTCCACTGTGCTGGAGGGGATGTTGGAGAACTTTGCGATGTGTAGAGAAAAAGGTCATGAGACTGAACCTCTGGATCGCTATTGTAACAACTGTAAAGTTTCCATTTGCGACAGGTGTGGAGAGACTCGTCACACTCATCACACCAAAGTTAGTATCCAACAGGCTACTGAGGCAGAAAAACTGATGTTGGAAGAGACTGTGGAACAAGTGAAAATGCAAGTGGTTGAACTTGAGATGCAAATGAAAACAACGACAGAACTTTTTACAATAAGTAAAGAGAAAATCGCCAAAGCTCGTAAGAATGTTTGGACAACAGTTGAAGAACTCATTCGTGTATTGAAAGAGCATGAAAGGACCATGTTAACCGAGTTAGACGTTATTGAAAAAGCACAACAAAGAGATCATTCAACACAATTTGAACTCTTGCAGGCATCTGTGAACGAATTTAAAAGCTCTGTGAAGAATTGCGAGGAAGTCCTACGAAAAAACGTCAGCGTCGAAACTCTACAAGCACAACAGGCTGAAATTGAAAGGTGCAAAGGTGTTCTAAAAGCGCCAATAAAGGAGATTTATAAGCCATGTCACCTTCGCTATCAGACAAATAATGAGTACCGCAAGACGTTGACAGGCTCTGCTCCTGGTAAAGTTCTTGTTAGTAAAACCGATCCCTTAAGGTCACTTTTAGAATGGAAGGGCTCGAGAAAAGCTGAAGCCGGGGAAATAAAGAACATTGACATCATAACAATCAATTCAGATGGGGAAAAGTGCTTCCAGGAAATCGATGAGATCAAAGTGAGAGTTCAGAGTCCAACGGGAATGAACATCGACCTCAAGTCACTTTACCGGTCTCGTTGGAGATATAGTTATGCTTTCATACCATCCTGTGATGGAGAACATGAGGTGACAGTTGTAGTTAACGATCAACCGCTTCCTGGTACTCCCCGGAGGCTCCTTGTGGCTCCATACCAGTATCCTTTCGCCTTTAAATTTCGGACATGTAGAAAATTTTCGCAATTTAAAGAACCCTGTGCTGTTGCAATGGATAATAAGACAGAGAATTTGGTAATAGTTGATCGAAAGAAAAAAAAAGTGCGAATTTTTAAGTCGTCTATTCATGGCAATTTTAAAGAACTTGGTCAGAGTGAAGCAGTGCTGAAAGACCCCTCCTCAGTTGCATTCACTCAATCTGGTAGTGTCATGGTCATTTCCGCCGGTTCAATGATTTGTTTTACTGCAAGTGGTAAATTTATTGCACAGATCAACAACAAACACTTGAAAGTCCCATTCTCACTGACTATTGCACGTGATGGCCGCATGGTAGTGTGCGACTCAGGTGACAAGTCAGTCAAGGTCCTTTCCCCTGACGGGAAAGAGTTATTACAGTCCTTCAGTGCTCCAGACTGTGACGACTACCCATGGGAGGCTATTTGTCACCAAGACAAGTTCTTCGTGTCTTACCCCGCGGCTCGTTGTGTTAAAACATTTAACAAAGACGGGAGCTTTCTTTTTGACATTGGCAATGAGAGCGCACGTGAAGGACAATTGAGTGAGCCGCATGGACTTGGTGTCGACGCCTTTGGAAATTTGATTGTTTGTGACTCCGAAAACAAGACTTTGAACTTTTTCAAGCTGGAGGGAAAGTTTTTAAAGGGGATTCGCAACAACCTGCTCGAATGCCCTTGGTCTATTGCTGTCAGCCCAAACACTCAATTGCCATCGTTTCTCATAGCTGATCCGGTCAAAAAAAGCGTCATACTCTTTTGGTAACTGCGAATATCTAACGTTATTAATAAACAATTACCTTTTTGCCTTTCAAAATTAGTTAATCGACCGTCACAAAACTGATTTTCAATGATTTTGCTCTCTATGTCATTAGCCCGCGAAAGCAGAAGCCGTGTACTGTTTTCGTTCCAAAGAGAAAGCCAAAACTGAAATCCACCTTCCTTCTCACGCGTTTCGTCACAGTTTGAACCGTTCAAACGGCGGAGGATGACCAATCATTTACCCTGATCAAGATCCCACTTTGGATCCTTGTTAAACCCAGATAAACCTCATTTTTTTAGCTTCTAATTATCTCTAAGAATTAATATTCTTCATTTTTAATTGTTTAAATTTACCGAGTGTTAAAAAATTCGTTTCATTATAAAGTTGAGTAAGGGTGTGTGATATGACTTGTACCTCCATAATCTTAAATCCATTTTTCTAGAAACGATAGATATTCTTTTGTATGCTGTGGTCGAGAGCTATTATAGGTGGACGGGAAGAAGAATTCCGAGGGCTACTTTTTTAAAAATGTCGAAACTCAGTTTGATAGGCTCTGTTAAACGTAACGTTAGAGTACCGTTTAGAGAGCTAGTCTAAAAGAACATTGTAGGTGTTTTTCTCATCGGTATTTCGATTTCGTATTTGAGCGATTTCAGAGATGAAAAAAGAGACAGAAAGTGAGTCACTTCTTAACCCCATCATGGGCACCTACAGTCAAATCCCGATAACTCAAACCTTCAAGTGAAATTGAGGAAGAATAGCTGTGTATTTGATAAGATTGTTAAGAAAATTTCAATGCTTTGTTTCAGTATTACGGTAAATAAAAGAAAATATTAGGAGAAAATAAGTTTGTTTCCTGAACGTGGATGAAAGGGCTACCAATTCCCAATAAAAGTATATGAAAGGGATACCTTTCTAGCCAAAAACCATGATGATTTTCCTGGTCCTTTGACATGATTCCTTGACAGAACCAAGTAAGGCATAAGCCACAGCCACTCTTTTGTGTTTGTGTTCCTTTTTCCTTCTTTTTTTGCCGCACGTTCCTTAAATTTACCATGAAATTTTTTTAATGAATTCGAAGTTAAAAAGGACATATTCGTGTCTGAGTTATAGAGTAGGATGAGAATGGTAATCTAACATTGTATAATTTTGATACCTTTTCTTTCAAGATTTGCATAACACAATAACTTTTGAAATTCTCATGTTTTCGCGGGCTGAGATCCATTTTCAACGAGCCAGAAGGTAAATGAAAAGGGGACTTGTAAGAAGGTCTCAAAGGAGTTTAAACGTCAGCCGTCAAAGAGCCTAAAATTTAACCGTCAACCGTCAAAAACAGCTCAATATTATCCCATTTTCGCTGCTTATCGCGAACAGTTAGAGGTCTTTGAGGATATTTCAACTAGTAAACCAGTCTCCAGATTTCCATTTATATATTCACTTTGGTCAAATTTAGTGATTTTCGCTTTAACTGACAGATAACTTACTCATTCTGTCCAGTGGCCACGCCACGCAGCGTTGTTCCTTTCCCTAAATTAGCACATCCCTACGCCGTTTGACATTTTAAACATTAAACCTTCAGTGTCCTGTAATATGCTATGGACTCTGGTAGCATTTCGAAGGTCCCCCGTAAGTGAATGACCAAGTCGACAGCCAAGTGCTACACTCACCCTGGCCCTTAATACCCAGTGCCCCTGTCTATCGTGCAATTCAATTCTGTCCATTATAAGGAACTCCTGCCCACTGAGACAATTTCCAAAGAAAAGGAAAGTTGTCGTGAAAGAGTGGGTAGAGAGCTACAGACCAGTGAGCAGAGGACTGTCAGAGCAAAAATCACAAAGCACAAAGTAGGTGCACTACCCCCCGGTAGCTTTCGCACAGCCCAAACCTCTTGTAGAACGTAGAAAGGTTCTTTCGCAAGATGACTGCGAGGGAGACGATGAATCTCTAAATTCCGTGGCCGCAAGAGAGTTTTTTGTCCAACACTAAGCTTTGTAGGCTCGAGGTTATCAGCAAGAATTTTATTCCAGAAGTTGTTTTAAATTGAATTAAAGCTACCTTTGTTTACTAATTACCTGTGATCAAGTTTGCTTGCGTGACAAAGTAAAGCTTGGAGGTCACTTACTAGCCAATCAGTAGACTGGTATATACCCTCCATTGTAACCGCGGAATTGATGGAGAGAATGGTAGTGAAAGGCGGATCCTGAGACTTTTGTTCATGTAAAGGATACGAATTTGTCATTCTCGATAGTGAAAACCAGTGGCCATTCACCGATCGCATTAGCCCTCCTGAAGCCTGCAGTCATCAGTCAGGAAAGAAACCTACAGCAGCGACAATTGATAACCTCGCCAACTTCCTGTTTGTGGAGAGCTTACCGTGATTTTATCCAATTGTCGATTGGGATTTCTAGATTTGTTAGTTTTTTATGCCAGTTTTCAATTCTATTAATTCTACAACTCATTTTTTTCTAACATCGGAGTCTTGTATTCGCTTGGGTCTGTGCCATATCATACTTTATGTTCGATGGGTATCTACATCTCGTCGTTGATCCATCGGCATGACATTTCTAAATTGTAAATTGTCGACGGATTATTCAAATTAGTTCGTTAATAGCGTAAATTAAAGAGTGAGACTTACAAGTTTTCTTCGCAGATCTCTAGGAACCCATTTGACATTTACAAAAAAACCGAAAATCAATGCCGATTCGAAAGGGTTACATTTTCAACTGTTTGATCATCGCCGATCATAGTACTGAGAACAATCACTGCATGCAATCAGACACAATCGAATCAAATCGGCTGCTATTCTGTCCATAAGACTGCATCACTTTACGAGTTTTCTCGCACTCGATACAATTTTGGTCATTTTCTTTTCACAATTGCCGTAACGAAGGAAACTCTGAATAATAGTCGTTTTACGGTACGAACATAAACATGCATGCACTTTCGTAAAACCAATTCTATTAAAGATTGTCGTGCGTTACTGGTTAGACTGGGTGGAGCGAAATACAAAGCAGCCATTGACGAGTGTATGGACCCTGAAGTTGAAAATCACTACAAAGAACTTCTCAGCCAATGGAAGAAAGACGAAGGCAATGTGAAAGATAAACTAGATGAGGTGATCGAAAAGTTAGTTGAATTGAAAACATCAAGCATGACTCAAAGAGAGAAACCTGAAATTGTAGGTCAGTATCTTTCAATGTTGGTTTTTTTGTTTCTTTGATTTTGTTTGTTTGCGGAGTTTTTCTTCTTTCTTCGTTCTTTCGAGAATATGTACTGATAATTTATCGATAAACACCGCCATAAAAGAAAAAAACTATCTTGGGGGAAAAATTTTAAGAACAAAGTCTAGCCTGTTCAAAGTTTGTGAACCAGCTTTCGAGAGTCAGTAGTTGAGGATAGTAAGTGCTACAGATCAGGCATTGCGCAGACTCTCAGTCAATAGAGTGGTTTGTAAGTCGATGATGTTAAGCTATGTGGTTGTTGACACCACTAGTCATTCGTTTGAGACATAACGAAACCGAACCGAATTACAAAGAAAAGAGAGTCCACCGACTTATACGTTAGACAAATTCCGGGCTCGGAAGTGCATTTTTTGTACTGTCTTCCCTTGCCAGATTTGTATGGGTCTGAATAAAATATATTCATGTCCGTTATTTACCAAACGTGAGGTCAAAATGGCTAGACATTGGCCGAGTCCTTTTTTTTTTTTTGCGTTTTTATGGACCGAGACAAAGTCTCGGTCCATAAAAAAGTAAAAAAACAACAAGGCTAATATCCAGTCATCTTGACCAAACAAGCTTGGTCAAGAGAGTTTGTATTCTGTTGGCTTGGATTAAAGGATTCAATGTGTAGCAAAAGATTTCGCTTTGATAAGAATCAAGAATGGCTTGTTTATTTCGAGAGCCGATAGAGAAAGCTTACTGTGTTTGCAACACAATAAACCCAAGAGGGTCGTTTATTTTTTTCTATGTATATGCCGACATTGTCCAAAAGTTACGAACTTTGTGAGTTTTCTTGCGTGGGATCATTACGGGGAATCCCGAGCGGGCGAGGGTGGGCCTATCATGCCCGCTCAGGTAGCCAATCAGAACACAGGATTCACTTCATCTTGCCCGCGTGCGCTGTTAGCTATATGATAAAGTGACTTACAGAGCAAGATATCTACTGACCAATCATATATTATCCCATTTCACGATCACAGGTCTCGACATGTTGCCTTTTTTCCACGCAAGGGTCAAATTGAACCATTGAGCTGCAATGTTCAACACATGATGGTCAGTTGATGGTCTAATTAACCATTCATTTTTCTCCTTTAGCCTCCTAATGACGAGTTCATCAGTTCCCGAAGCGAAATATTGAAAAAACATATATTTTACAGTTGATCTCAAGTTTATATTTCATAAGAAAGAGGGGGGAAAGAGGGGAGAAAATGAATAGATAAATAGATTAATGAAAAAAGAAAGCTCAACAGTTTCCACTTATAGTCATATGGTACATGAACTGATTACTGAGATGGAGTAAAGCCATAGAATGATACAAATGCAATATCCCAGATTCAAAATTGAATAAATCAAGATAGGCATTCTTAAAAACGAACTCAAAATGCTTCATTAAAATCAATTGACACTGAATAACATTGATGTGCAAAATTTCAGTAATACTACTGATAATAATGCTTTTCTTTTGGATTAACATGTCACACAGCGAAATCATTCAAACTGCTCTAAAATGGTGCATCACTAATAAAGACTTTAACACGAACGATAACATCAACAATAGCATTCTAGTTCAACATCAATTGTTGTCAATTTCTTTTCCAAAAAGTCCTAATGATTATGTACCAATCTATTAGGACTTCAACAAACGCCACTATAAAATACACTTTTAGAAAGGTGGACATTTTAGAGAGGTTAAGTTGATCATTTAATCCACACTAAACTTTCTTGTAAGAGTAATTTTAAAGATAAAAGAAAGACAGAATTATTTTCCAGTGAGATGCATTT